ACGTGGGAAAATACCTGAAGAAAGCTGAATGATATATATGTGTGTGTGTGTGTGTGTGTGTGTGTATCTTTGGTTATTCGGGTTTTCTCCCACGTAAAATTGGAAGTATCAATGAGAACACACCCCCACCCAATCAGAACACAGCCAAGCCCCCACCCAATCAAGTCACACCCCCACTAGCAGTTAAAAGGAAGAAGCAGCTGCAAGCTCACATTACTCTGAGAAGCACAGAGCCGAAGACACAAGCCTGAAGATGATGAATGAGACTTCATCGAAAAGTTGCCTAGATACTTCCAATTTTATGCGGGAGAAAACCCGAATAACCAAAGATCCACATACAAATACCTGCGAGAACCTCAGAAAACATACATACATACACATACATATATGTAAGCGTATGTATGTATGTGTATGTATACATACACACACACACACACACACATTTTACAGCATATATTGAGCAATGGTTAATTTTTTTTTCTTTATCTTTATCATTGACGTGATCTGCCTTGTTACAATAACTCCTTCGTTCTTTTAATGTTTTAATTTCTCTATATAGTTTATAATTAAATACACATCTTCTATAATTTCCATAACTTATCGAAATATCAAATATTACTTTTCTTTAACCAATCATACCAAATTTCATAATAGTCACTATCTTGTTTATTTTTTAACAATTTGGTTAAGCTATCCATCTCAGCACATTCGTGTATTTTTTTTAATTACCATATCTTCTGAAGGAATGACAGTTTCCAGTTTTGTGCATAGGTTATTCTGGCCGCAGTTATGATGTGCAAAATTAAATATTGATATTTTTCTCCATCAGTTTCATGTATACTATTGGATAGCCTTTCATAAAAGCAATATTTAAGACCACTTTCTTTCCTTCTCTCAAATTGATCCACAGACATTCCTAATACATTGTATTCAGTGTTTCCTGATGTTTCCCAACTATTGGAGAATTTATGGGAAACTTAGTATATCTGTAAATATATATGGATAAACTCCCCTCCAAACAAGTTAACAAGTTCTGGAAAAGTCTTGTGAGCAGTGGAGGATATAAAAGCTGAATTACTTGCACAGTATTCATTCTCCTATGTTTGTCAAAGAAAATGAGTGTCTATTTCAGGCTGCACAAATATGTGTCTGTCGTGCATCTTGCGTCCCTCTCCCTAAGCATTATTGGAAAAGTCAGTAAATTCACTGTTGCCGCCACACCAAAAGATGCATGCCAAACATCTTCAACATCTTTCAGGCCCAATGCTGCCACTCTGTGCCAGGTATTTATTAGTGACCTATGAAGATTTTAAATTTATCAATGTGGCTCTTTTTCCTCTCAGTATGCAGTGCTGCTCTGCATTATCTACAAACACCCCAAAAGCATACAATGGGCAAAATAGAAATTTGATTAAAAAAATAACATGTCAGGTTTTCAGTTACCTGGCATTGTACATAGCACGCCTAATCTGGAACCCACAGCACACTGGTAACACACTTTAAGAATGATTATGGGCAATGAGGAATTTGGATGTAGCTCAATTTTTTTTTAAATGAAATGTTAACCAAATGTTTGCCCAATCCAATGCTTTTGCTAAAATACTAAATACTTACCACTACAGAGAACTTCTGCCCCTTTCATGTCTATGTGACATCATGATGCATGTACAAGCTTATATTTGTCTTCCTCTAATCCTACTGTGTAGCAGAGGTGGTATTCAGCAGGTTCTGACCAGTTCTGGGGAACTGGTAGCAGAAATTTTGAGTAGTTTGGAGAAGCAGCAAATACCACCTCTGACTGGCCCCACCCCCATCTATTCTCTGCCTCCTGAGTCCCAGATGATCAGCTGGGTCTTCTTTTGTTGCCCTGCACAGGAGAATGGAGCTGGAAAGCAGGTTAGTGGGGTGGGGAGAGAATGGGATTTTGCAGTATATTTCCCCTGCCACACTCACCAAGCCATACCATGCCCATCAAGCTATGCCCACAGAACCAGTAGTAAAAAAATTTGAATCCCACCACCGCTGTATAGGCCTCTGAACTTAGAGACTTGTCTGCAGGGCATTTGATTTCCTTTGATTTCTTTTTTCCCCCACTATCCATCCAGTAGACTCAGAATTCTTTTAAAAAATAGTTTCAAGAAATAGTATATTTTGTTTTATATATTGTAATGTTTCTTTTTTGTTCTGATTGTGTTTTTGTGTGTGTGTGTGTGTGTGTGTGTGTGTGTGTATAAGACCACTTGATAGTGATTTTTTTCTAGCTGCTATTAGCAATAGCTCAAATGAGAAGACATGAAAAAAAGAGATCTCTAACATTTAACCAAAAAACTATCCTTTACTAAGATGCTGGATCAATGCAGGAAAATGTATTGATTCTCCATAAGCATCCAGTAAGCCTCAAAGGAGCTGGGTCCGATAATAATGCTGGAAAACTGGATTCATTTTTTTCATTTAGTTAATCTTTTTTTAAATGATATTAGTATGAGACACACAGTGTTCTGTTTTAATATGGATTAGCAGGTGTAACCATTATTTTATCATATATTTGAATACATGGGATGGTAGCCTATAAAATAAGTAGTGATGAATGGCTTTTTAATCTTTTCTTATTTTTATTTGAATTTTTTTATGCCCACGATACTCCACAAACTATTCTTTCAATGGGCTTAGGACTTGAAACAGTAAATCTATTTGGATATCTGTATCGTACTTATTTCATGCGATGCAGCCATCTCCTCTTACTCTTACAAATGCCTGTTGTTTTTCTCCTATTTCAGACAGAAAATGGACAAAATAGACCCTCCAAAATAGACCTCCTCCAAAAATACATATTTTACATATTTCCATTCCTCATAACGTAAATGTTTTTATTCCCTCCAAGATATTAAATAAGGAAGTACAGAAATGACTTGCCAGATGTACATCTTGATCATTTCTACCCTGTGTCTCTAAAGTTCACATTAATCAATAGGGATCAAAGCTTACCTGGTGGCATCTTCCCTGGGACAACACATTCTAACATAGGCACTTTATTGAAAATAGCATCTCTTTTGCATTTATCAGGATCACCGTTATTCAGAATCATATCCACAATTTCACTTAGCCACGTTGTGCCTGGAAACAAACAGCCCATTAGGTTTGTCAGAAGTTGTATTGAAATCTGCATTCCAAGAGAAAAAAAACTTCATAAAATGCAGGCATCATGAAAAAGTGACAAACCATCAGGTTGCCCTTTTCCAATACTGAGAACTCACCAGATTTGGGGTATGTGGCTATCACAATATCATCTGGCCGACTCTGGAAATTTTCAATTCTATCCCAGTCAAAGGAGAATGCATAGACTATAGGAATGCCATGGACTATCTGGCAATCCCGACGAAAATAATCTTCGGTAGCCATCTCTGCAAAAATGTCAAACATTAGAGTCAGAAAAAAATAAAACGAATATATGAAAGAGTTCTCATACTTTATCAAACATTTTGCTAAATAAGTTGGGAAGCCTACTTTAATCAATTTAAACTTTGACCATCATGCAAAATAAAAGGCTAATTTTACATTTTATCTTTCTGACTAGATACTTTAAGGGTGTCTTCTTACCAACATTTCATTTTAGAGCTTTTAAAAACATGTTTGATATTGTATTCCATATTTATTTTAAAAAATTACCACCAACACCAACAGTAATTGTATAATTAGAAGTCCACCTTGTACTATATTATATTGGAAATATTATTTTAATGTCCAAAGAGATGCTGCCAACACATTCAAAGATACTTTCTCTTGCAACAGCCCATCTAACTTCTTTATTTAAAGGTTCTTTCTTTCAATTTAAAAACAGTTTACAGTTTGAAAATTCATCTCCATAAAGTCAACTTAATCAAACAGATTGTGGTTTAAATTCACCATCATCTTTTTAAAAGACACTAATGGCCATGTTTTCAAAAAAACAACATTGTAACCTGAAAATTACTAATTCATGCAAAATCTTTAAAGCAGAAAACCTTGCAAATTGAATATATTTGTTTAGTAAATAAAAAATAAATTACAGTTTCACATAAGTACAATATTTTTCTTTTTTTAAGTTGATCACTATTCTTCCACAAATAAAATCAAGCTAAGCATGTATTTCAGTATTCTTTGTTCTATGTGATAACCTAGATTACACCATTATGTTTGTTGGTTTTTTTACTCAGATTGATGAACCTACAAATTATGTCTTGTTCCATAAATCATAATTTAAACACTCAAAACAATGTGTAAACAGGTTTAAGTAAATCAGGAAGTGAGGTTACCCTCCCATGTCAAGAAGACTCTCCTCTATATCATTCAGAGCCTGGATCCCCTAAACCTTATTTTAAATCCCTCACAGTTGATTTGATTCAAATATTAATCCAAAAATACAGTTTAGAAACCACAATAGTGAGATTCACACATTAGACAAGCCATAAAATGTTAACTTTGGGTGGAGTTTGATTTAGCACATTGCCTGAGGATAGCCACAAATCCCACTCTTCCATCAGATCAAGGCAATAGCCCTGTTCACCACAATCACTCTAAAAAAAATTGCAGCAGAAATAATTTCAAACAGCCCCACATTAGATTATACCACCGAGTTCTTGTATGAAGATATAAATCCTGACAGCTGATGTTTCCTCTTTGCTTTCTGAACTGGGGGAGAGGGCTGTGGGAGGGAAGGAGGATCATTATTTTCTGTTCTCAAATCATGAAAGAAGCCTAAACATTTGACTAGGAATTGCAAAACACAGGCCCAATGTTTCTAGAAGCCATGTTACTTACACTGAGAATTAGAAATAAAGCCTTACCTTTAACTTTGCAGCAACAGCTGATAGCCTACAACAAGGCAGTGTGATTTCCTTTCCAGATCTATGAACTGGGAAGAAACTGTGGAGGGTTTTAGCCAGTCAGAGGCCTTGAGAAACAGCCAAGGAAACCAAAGGTCCCATTACCTAATCTCTGTATGCAAAATAGGTGGAGCTGGGAAGGCAAACTGAGAGGAGTAGAAGTCAATGATTTGCTTTTTCTTCTAAAAGAAAAAAGTTTAAGAGGGTTCAAAAACCAAGAAATAGTTAGGGTATGGTGCCTTCAGTTGCTGAGTCCTACTTTATTTTTCTATCTAGTCATTTCCAAGATTCTTTTTTTCACACAGAACTTTAGAAGCAGGCAAAGCAAATGAGTTTCGATATTCTGGTGTGGTGCTTTGAAAACATAATAAAGGGGGGGGGAGTCTTTTCAGCAGTCAGATATAGTTTAATTGAAAAGAGAGATGTCTTTGATCTGTCTTCAGCACTGGTACAGCAGGCCCAAAATTAAAATTGCATCAACCCAACCGTGTTGGGAAAGGTGATTTTGATTTTGCAAGGATGGTAGCTCTGTTGGAGGATAAGAGAAAAGGCACTCAGGGAACATACTCTAACATAGATTCACCAGTTTAGCAGATTACCTGGACTGCTTAATCAACCTATTGTTTACTTCCTTTTCTGTTTTTTTTCCTGACAAGATGTTCAAAACACAAACACTGATCTCATCTGTTTCACTTTACAGGTTGTACCTGATGATAGAATTGCACTACCTCTGTAAATAAGATGGCATGAAATTGTTTAGTGCTAGTGGGATAAATGGTTCTGAGTATTCTGTTTCCAAATCAGGAGACAGAAATTTCCTAAGGTTTTCCAAAGTAGCTAAATGGAGGGAGAATCAGCTGTTTTGAATTTTAGCTTGATCACTTAGGGAAATCCCAAACAGCATAAGCAACCTGCAACTGTGTCTTCTATTGTGCCATGATCTTTGCACAAAACTTTTGATGTTTCTACTGACACCTGCTATCTCTAGGCACTTGATTTTTCAATCATGTGGCGGAGAGTTGAATGTCCTTTTGTACTTAATCTAGGCTACATAAGTAGTCTTCCTTTTCTTGCAATTTTCCAAAATCATCTTGTCAATTAGGAGCTGATCCTTTGTTCCTCTGCTGTTCAGGGATTTTCCTTTCTACTCAGGTGAAAAGAGATGGTTTCAGCTAGATGGTTTTGGACTGCATCAGCTACCACAACAATTAGCAATTTGAAGGTTATTGATAAGCAGGTAATTAATGCCTGATGCAGCCCTTTTTTGCTGGGTCTTTCATTATCAGGTAGGCTTTGTCAGAAGGTAGCCATTTTTCAATTTCTCCTTCTTGCAATATGTTGTTAAACTGCTTGGCAACTATATGTGTAGATTAACCAAAACCATGTAATTAAGTGTTTCAATCAAAACCATGCAATTTATCTTCACTTGGAGCTGACCAGCCCCTGATCTTCCTTGCTCTTTACCACTTTTGCTATTATTACTAATTCCTTCATTTCAGCTTTTTTTTCTTATCCACTTCCTTTAACATTTCTTTGGGTTATCCCGTATCTGCGCCAGAACTGCACTGTTTGTTTGTTTATTGTGTGGGAAGCCACCCCTTCTCCTAGAAGAATGAAATATTTTGAGAAATATTTAAAAAGGCAGAATATTATGTTTTCCAAAAGGAGAAATGGAGAAACATGTTTTTAGAGGCAGACATATAACCCACAGCAGATGTCAACACTTAAGAGATAAAGAGCTTATTGAAAACTAGATAGCTCTACTAATAGGCATAGCAAATATTGCAGGCAGAAATCCATTCAAGACAAGTTATTTTGAAATTCCCTGCAGCAAAGTCTGAACATAATAATAGGATTAGCCCTCATCCAAGAGCCAAAACAGATGAAAGCCATTAAGCCACATTAGGAATTGCCTAACACCCTTTCATAACACAAACCTTCATTGCATCACCTTCAGAGCAGTCCAAACTTCAACCAAACTTAGCTCAGACAAACACCAAGGATTTGTACTTTGCTTATAGAGTCAGCTATGATCCATACATAACCCATACATGGCCCCATGGGAGTCTGACAATATCCAATAGAATACATGTTCCTGCACAGGAACAGGAGGCTCAAGTGCAAAACTTAAAAAAAGTATAAAAACCCCTTACTCTCAACTCCATTTTGTCAGTTGCATCAGAACCATGTGCTTGGTGGTTCTGTTCATTATAAAACCTTCTTTCCAATTAGCCTCCATGTTTCCAGTGTCTTTCTCCCAGCTTGGAATGGAACCAGATGGATATTTCTTCCAACCATTGTTTGGTATATACAGGTGCCCACAATATATATTGACATTTCATCTAGATTAGTAGAACATAATAAAATATAAACATTTAAAAAAATTCTATGTTCAAATATCAAAGTTAGGTCATCTAACTATGAAGTGCAGCATTGATTATATTTTAAAAATCAGACACTGAGATTGAAGTATATGCCCTCCTCTTACAGCCAGTCAAGATGTGATCTAGTTTGAAATGGGATCCTGCAATCACATTGAAAATAGTATGCTTCATTTATACAGAGTCCCAGCAGACATTTCTTCCTAGTCGCATACTGTTAATTGATAGAAACATTTCTGATTGAATTAAAATTGGAGGTTCTGCCTATAATTTGCAATTGGAGCTTTGTATCTGCTGATCTTGGCTATAGTTATTTGCTGCTGTATTATTTCTGGAGCTTCCTTTATCTTCCTTGTTTCTAAGTAGTGTCTCTTGATTAGGTATTCTTTGGTTTTTTGGTCTTTAGCTTTTTCTTTTATATGTTCCAGCTTATTTGCCTCCGATCTCAGCTTGCTGATTTTATTTTCTAGTCTGATCTTTGATTTTGCTGGTGCACTGTTTTGCTTCTTTGCTGAATTGCTCTATTGCCAATCCCCCTGGTTTGTCTCTGCAGTCTGAGTTACTGCCGACAAAGTTAAATATTTCTCTGATTTCCCTGCCCTGGATAGACCTTTTTCAGTTCTGCTTCTCTGAATATTTTATTTTGTTTTATAAATTGACATTGATCAGTTAGCCTCTGTTCTGTTATTTCTGATTTTAAATGTTGTTCTTTGTAGAGCTATTGCTATGTTACTAATTTCACAACTGCAGTGATTCATTTAACAACTGTGGCAAGAAAGGTCATAAAATGGGATAAAATGGGATAAAATTTACTTAACGAATGTCTCACTTAGCAATAGAAATATTGGGCTCCATTATGGTTGTGAGTTGAAGACTACCTGTATAAAATAATAAAAGGTGCTCTGTAGCTTTAAAATTCAAACAGACAAACACCTGCCACATAGCAATACTTAGTAGTCGTTGATAAGAAAGACAAAAAATCTGGATGGTAGATATAGTAATTGTTCTGTATTAACATTCTTGTAGACTCGCATTCTGATTGGTCCACCCGGACCGCAACCCGATTGGTCCACTGAATGACTGTGATTGGAGGACTAAGAATCTCCCGCGATTGGCCGAGCCGATCGCGGGAGATTCAAAGCGCTGCCATTGGCCGCCGAGCCGCCGGCCGGCTGTATAAAGCCAAGCGGCTCGCACACTTTAGCTGTCCTTGTTCTGAAGTCACAATAAAGAGCTGATTGTTCACTTTTGCGTCCCGCCTCTTATGTGACCCGATCCACCGATCTAACACTGGCGACGAGGATGGGATCGTGGGGCGAGGACCAACTAGCACGTGGCAAATGGCGCTCAACGACCTGCAAGATGGCCAGCACCCTGCCACCCGCTCCGTTCGACCCAGCCACCGAGGACTGTGAGTCGTACATCGATCGCTTCCAGATGTTCCTGGAATGCAGCAACCTCAAGGACACCAACGGCCAGAGGAAACGGGCAGTGTTTCTGATGCACTGTGGCCCTATGGTATTCAAGATGGCCAAGGCGCTGGCCAAGCCTGCCGACGTAAAGGAGATGGACTGGGCTGACCTCGAGCCCATCTTGCGCCGCCATTATGCCCCTGCCGTGCCCATCCTCATCCGTAGGCATGACTTCTACCGCCGAGATCAGCGCGAGGGCGAAACCATAGGCGACTTCGTGGCTCAACTGCGGAACCTGGGAGGCCCCTGCGGATTCCCCGACCTGGACCAGGCACTTCGGGACCGAGTCGTCCTCGGACTCAGAGACCCCGTGCTGCAGAGCCGATTAATGGCCAAAGGCGACATCTCCCTCGCCGATGCCCTCGCCGAGGCTACCACCGCTGAGGCCACCCGCCAGTCGGCAGCCCGGATGCGTCAAGCAAACACGACTGAACGGCCACCGACCAACAAAGCGACCCCAGCCTCAGCAAAGCCCAGAGAAGCCAGCCGCCGAGAAACAACCACACATCATGGTGACCTCGAACCCCAATCCGACACCGAGGACGAAGACGAGGAGATCCATTGGCTGCAGACCGAGCGCGACCGCCGGGACCGCAGGGGACATAAGTCGGGTTTCCATTGCGCCGGCTGCGGCAGCGACCACCCCCGCTTTGAATGCCGTTTCCTTGACGCCATTTGCTGGCATTGCGAGAAGCGGGGGCACATCGCCAAGGTGTGCCGGAACAAAAAGAGCTACAGCCCGCAACAACGAGGAAACAGCCCACGACGATGAGACAGCACTCCCCCCAGGCACCGAGACCGCCCGACCGAGAGCCAGTGGAGCCGCGACAGCCACAGCAGACGACTCAGCGAAGCACAGCGCCGTGAGGAAACCCACCAGACGGTCGTCATCGGCCATTCATCAACCATGGATGCCCGAAAGGTACACGTGGCACTGTGCATCGAGGACCAGCCCTGCGAGATGGAAGTGGACTCCGGGTCCTACCTCTCAATGGTCTCTTGGCGCACAATCAAGCGCCTAGTACCGACCATCCGCCGCAACGAACTAGACGACCAGAAGCTAATCTTGAAAGACTACCAGGGAAACCGCATCCCTGTGGCCGGCATCGGGCATTTTAAAGTCACATTCAAGAACCACACCGACATCTTGCCACTCACAAT